GTCCCCGTTCGGATGCAGTCTGAAAAGAAGTATGTAAATGTTTCGAAATGGACATAGTGCGAGTGGTTAGTGCTAGTAGCACTAATCCGAAAAACTACTAGTGGCATTGATATTGCGTTGTCAACGACGTCAAGACATCCCGTAATTCTCTGAAAATAAATTAATATTTATGTAAAATTGTTATATCTTTCATTCATTGGAAATGTGCTACAGTGGGAAAATTGAGAATATCATTGTCCACGTTTGTCGTAATACTAATAGACCTTTGGAACAACGCGATCGGCCAGGAAACTAGCTGAAACAGTGAAACTGCAGGTCGAACTTTGCAATTTTTACAAATTGTGAATAGATATACTGTATGAAATGGTATTGTGGGGAAGTCCCGGGTCCCTGTAAAGCTCGGTGGATTGTGTGTGTACTGCGATTTTCACGCAATCCTGTTGTTACATTGTATCATGGAGGAACTAACGGAATATGATGTAACCTCGCCGTTTTTTTAATTTTTTAATGTGATCATATTATATATGTCTAGACACTTTCTCTGCAATAATATTTTTTAGAAGCCCTTAGGATTTTTTGTTGTAGACTCTCGAAATCTTGTTCTTGTTACAGTTGCTAATAATTAAAACATGTGAAGTAACAAGTTCGTCTGTTGAATTTCCGGTTGTGAAACCCTCCACAGCTAAACAAACCCAGCGTATGGTCGCGTTAAAAAAAATGGGTCCAAGAAATCGTCCAGGGCGATTTTTCGGCAGTTTTAAAATTTATTTTTTAAAATATTTTGTCGTAATTTATCGGACATTTCAATCGTTCCTGACGCCTAAATCAGTCTATTTAAGTTTTTATTCAAGACGTGTTTGGACAAAGAGCTGTTATCACTGTAAACAATGTTAAATTATTCTTCTTATGCTAAGTTCATCTTTGAAAACAACTATTTTTTTATTTTAAAAAAAATCATGCCATTTTCCCATCAAAATCCAAGCCAAAAGAGCGTACTACAACATCGTCAAATCTCTTCCACGTTGCGTTCAATAACATTAACATATTTAAATGAGCTATGGTGATTTGAACGCGTTGGCATCATCCAGCATTTTGATTGGTTAATTAGCGATTTGACCTATTAGCCCAACTCATGCAAGAGAAGCGCATGGCGGATACCCTACCGCATCCACAGTCAGCTGGCGCACACGGGATAATAAAATAAATACAATATTTACTATATGGGGGGGGGGGCGCCATCTTGAATGACGCATAAACTAAATAAGAGACAAGTTGTGAAACGCGTTTTTTCAGATTCCTACAAATCAGGACAAAAATACCAATCTTTCACAAAAATACGGTCCGTTGCGGTTATATTAAGCCAACCGATAACAAAATTCGGCCTAATTTGTCGTTTTTGTGTGGAAAAATCCCTTGCATACGAACACCTAATTACGCGAAGAAATTCACAAATTATTTTTTGAAATTTTGAACCCCAAATAAGCGCCCATCAGCCGTGAAATCCCCATGGCGATTTTTCGGATGGGCGAATTTACGACACAATCCGCTATTATATAAAGAAAGTATTATGGACATCTCGCGCATATTGCCAATGTTTTATACTGTTTGCAGTTTGCATATGAAAGTGGTTGTTGATGCCCTCCTATTATTCGACGTCGTTGACAATGCGATAACAATGCCACTCGCACTGTTCACATTTTAGCACTAGATCTAGTGCCATTTTAGTGCTAGATCTAGTGCCATTTTAGCACCAGATCTAGTACTTTTTCGGATTAGTGCTACTAGCACTAACCACTCGCACTACGCCCATTTCGACACATTTACATACATGCCGAAAACGGAGACTTGTGTTTTGACCCTTGTGCTTCCGTACGTACGTCCGAACCTGTATCTTAGAAATACCTGGATGAATCATAATAAAACTTCACACATACAAAATACATGACATTATACATATGCACGTCAATTTGTTTCATGATCTGATTCAAGATGGCCGAATGGTGGCCATTTTTGTGCTAAAAAATCATCAAATATCAAGCATTTCTGGCATTTATGAATGGATTTTGTTCAAACTTAGTACATATATTAGACATTACAGGTTCCTGATGCACATCATTTTATTTTTCAGATTGGATTCAAAATGGCTGACTGGCAGCCATTTTGTTTTAATGATTGGGCTTCTAGAGCCATATCTCTGACATGCTTTGACTGATTATGTTCAAATTTTATATATTTGTTATACATCATGTTATATATATATACACATGTATTCAAAATGGCTGATTTTGAATGCTGTTCCAGAGCAATATCTCCCAATATGGACAAGTACTTGTTTGACGATCAGATACAAATGTCAATCATTTTAATGTTAAACAATTATCATATTCATATTCCTGACATGGTTATATTCCAGCTAAATTACTATAAACAAAACTATATATCTTAAATTTGATAACTGACAGGGACTGTGCCATGCATGGCTTGTATTTGATTGAAGTAGTCGAATTTTAAATTAAATTGTTTGCATATTTTCAAATAATAATTCATTGTATTCAAGTGTAGAATAGAATGCTCATTGAAAACATTCTATACAGACAAACATTGCCCACAAAGCACATTTGTAATTTGAATAGATGTGACAATTTTTCATGATATTCAGCCATATTAACAACCATAAATTGAATTTTCATCTTCAACATATTATGTGTGTTACATGAGTAAAACAAAATGTAAACTGTATTTAACACCAAACACCCCTGGTGAAAATTGTTGTGGTTTTGGGAGTGCTAATTCAAATGTGACTAAGAATGTTCTAATGGAAATTGATATAGGGATAGTGGTTTTTTCAATAAGTTTATTGTTGCTCTCATTGTAAAATTTGTTTGCATTGTGTTGTTGGGTACAAGCAGGAATTGGTTTATTTCTATACTCAACTTGTTTATTCTGGAACTTCACAGGATCATGAGAAAGAAAGAGAAGAAATAACAAAACAGAATTTATCATCGTTAGTATGGATATGTACAAGTACCCATTCTACAAGCAAAATAACCGTCATTGATGCCAACCAACCACAAAATGTATTAGACTCTTTTCCTATATGTAATTCACATGTATTATGTATAGCCAGTGTAAAAGGTAGGTATAACATTTGATTTCCATTCGTATAGATTAATTTGTTGCTAGACGGATGATATGCTATTTTATGTTGCTAGGCTGATGACATGTTATTTTCTGTGGCTAGGTGCAAAAGAGAGTGACTATCCTGCCAGTGAGGAAGTGTTGAGCAGTACTGAATGCAGTGACCCTGAGGCTGCTACAAATGAGAGTGGATTAGGTAACGTTACCATGGTGACAGCAACACAAACCAGCTCAGATGCAACACCAAGGACTGCGTCACCAACAACATCTGATAGAGGTAAGACATACGTGACTACTCCCTCCTGGCTGACCTGACCTGACCTGACTGATTTATTAGAATTGTGACATCTGTATTTGTTAATATATCTGTCTTGTCTTCTTTCTGTATTATCACTGAGCTAACATTTTTCAAATGAAATATTTCTAAACATTTCATTCTTTAATACACTCATCTCTTATATACTTCCACTTTCTCTGATATCATTATGTGACTATGTTTCCCTTGTTCTTCACTAGTCTGCTAACTAATATATTCATCAACTACATTCATGTCATTCAATTTTAAAGGAGACCCATTTTCCCCGATTCGAGGTGATTACAAAGCGGATGTCAGTGCTGCTAATATTGGTAAGAGGGTGTCGTCAGTTAGTGACGCAATGGAAGCGCTGACAGAAGCAGCGGCAGCACCACAGTCAAAAGACACAATAGGTATGGAAGGTATTGTTAATGAAGATAGTGTATCCGCAGAAGGTGATGGTGAAGAAGAAGATCATGAAGGTCTGGAAACCAAAACGCAATCTAAATTTATCTTGTATATTGATCATTTGCATGGTTTCACACCCATGATTACATCAGCCAATATGGTCACCAGTGCTGTAGAATATATTGCACCAACACACATTTTTCTTAATTCTATTTCTTTTTTTTCTGTACACCTTTCCTGCACTCATAAATGTTGTGTGTTCACAATAAAGACAAAGTAATTTAAAGAATGGAAGATATCATACAAATGATCAATATCAGAGAAATCTGTGCATGCCACTGCACGTTTTGCTGTATTTATTATTTTGCAAAAAAAATCACTTGTCTTGGCGTTTGACTCGAAAGTGTAAATTGTTGCATGCCAGTGAATTAGTGATTAGATATTGTGTAGTGCTTAATGTAGTGTCAATCAACAAGTTCAGGAACCTATTGCTGGCTTCTGTAGATGAAAAATATGAACTTCTTTGAACAGTGTAGTTATTTCTTTCAACTGACTTTCTCTCTTCTCTCGCAGATGCTCTTTTCATCAGACTTTCATTCTTTCTGCTTTCATAGTAGCACTTTTCGTCTGACTTTCTTCCCTCACTGTAGCACCTTTCATCAAACTTTCTCTCACAATGAATCATATTTTACCTTATTGTTGTGGCAGCTAGGTCCCAATATGTCCTCCTTTCTTCCAATCTGGTATGCTTTGCTTACATCTAACAGCTCTGTACATTAAAGCCTTGCTATTGTCTGTTTCCACTGTCTGTATACCTATCTCTAGTAATTCTATACTTGATTCATTGCATAGGGAGAAGTTTTGCAGATCCATTGGGTGCCACAGCTGGTAGCCAAGCTACATCAATGTCTGGTGATTTACATAAAGATGGTGTCTCATCACTTCCTACTGAAAATGATTTTATGTATGTAGAAGTAGAGAAAATGAGTAGTGTACAGCCAACTATGTGGTTAGGAGCACAAAATGGATGGTAAGGTCAAAGTTCATTCAAAAACGTGCATTGCTGTGATTTGCATTAGAATGGACTGTTTTAATACTATTGTCACGAATGTCAAACATTAAATCTTGTTTATGTTGTATGTCGTGATGGTGGCGTTTTGTGTTTGTCTTACGGCGATAGATAGGCAATGTTGTTTTTGGCGATAGATAATTGTTAAATATAGAGTGGCAAGATGTTTCTTTTAGTCAGCACTAGGGAAGCGGACTTTGATAGAACCCGATCTGAACGTTCATGTGATCAAATGTGGATGTCCGATCTTGTAGGTACCACAGTAAGCCATTGAATAATATTGCATCATGGGAGTTTGTGATCTATTCTGGAGGACGTCGGTTCGCCGTTGCTGGCAGTATACCATTTTTTACGTGTCTACTAATCACGCGTTTGCAAGTAACGTTAGAACAATACACTGTGTATTGTCATACAAATTAATGTATTGTGATCTACGGAATGTGCATCATAAAGATAATTCTATTGGCCAATTCCGGCCTACTGCAGTTAACGAGTGGGGAAACTCGCCAGTGAATGACATTCCCGATTTTGGTTCTGAACTGGATGTGCCTTCTAATTTATGTTACTGGCTACGGAGGTGTACTGCGGTGCAAGGGAATCCACCCGGACCACTCTCCTTCTACAAGTTACGAATATTGGACAGATAAACTCTG